AAATGAGCTGAGCCAGGAATTCATTCTTTCTTGCAGCGACTTGTTGCAGTTAAAGGTCCATGTGAACATCACATGGTATATATTTAGTCGAGAAACACTGCTGTCGCAGTGCTGCACATGATTTGCAGCTTTACTGTACGCAGCATTGGGCGCATACGAGCCACACACAACTTAATGCAGCAATTGTGGTCGTATCCCAGCACCTCACCATAATCTGACCATTAAACAGTAAGTGTGGGAGCAAGGAGGAGAAGACCGAAGAGGTACGCATGTCCGGTGGAAGTCATTGATGGTCTGCAAGGTTCTAATTATGTGCTAATAGCCACTGAGGAGGTCATTTGGAGCCATTAGCAAGCGCCTGTAGGTAGTTAACGGCCCACAGCATAACCCAGGCTCCTTAATGCTCCCACGGAGGCCGTTAGTTCTCTGTCACCAAACGGCAGACGCCTCATTACCATGATTAGAAACCAATTGATAGGTAATAGTAAAATATGATGGCTCGCTTTCACAGAAATATGGACCTTAAAGAGGAGGCGAGACTGTATTTGAGCTGGAGCGAGTGTGATGAGTACATGCTAAGGGGTTTTGTTCGTTATTTTCAGTGTGAAGTAAAAAAAAAAAAAAGTAATTTTGGAACGGTGTAAGTTGAGTCTCGTGTCAACGTTCAGTCTTTTGCGTTTCTGAGTCTCAAGACTAAGCTTAAGAGAAGCCAAAGTTGTAATGAAGCAACTAAGACACTGATTAGCCAGCTAATTTTTCCCAATGCTAATGTTGTTGTTTGTTTTTGTGTCATAGCTCTTCTTGTCAAGCAACACACAGCTCTCACACAGTGGCTTCTTTTACTAAGAGATATACGAGTAATGGATATTTTAAGCACGCAATCATTATTAAATCTCTTATGCTCAACATTGTCAGTAATCAATTTGAGTCAGATGTTTTCGTTTAGATATTTTTTTTTTCCCCGGCCAGACATCGATTGAGATGATTTAAATTAGCATTGGTCCAGTTATCAGTCATAGACATTATACACTTCTCTCAGTTCATCAATGCCGGGTGGGAGTTTTGTAGCCGCTTTCAGAAGCATTATCTAAACTGTGGCCTGAAGAGTATGGAGAGCGTACAAACGTAGAGTCTCATCAGATGCTGAAAACCTAGAAGTCGGCTCTAAATATTTGCCTCTGTAATATTTGACTAAATCATCGTCAGACTTGTAGATCCGCCACACATGTATTCCACTCCTCGATGAAGAGAAAGGGAAACAGTAATGGACTTGGGAGAGCTTCGCAGAAGACTCACATAAGGGACCAATGTATCAGATCCTGATGAGAGGATATGGAGTAAATACACCATAGCGTGTGTTTGTTATGCTAGTGCGCCTAGTTAGCCGATGTCATACTTTAAAGAGTAATTGATGTGATTCTTAAGTGCAATTTTAAAAGTTTAGAGTCACAGAAGGTTCAGAAAATCAGATTGTTTGAAATTGTGCTCACTCGCTTCTCATTAAATCAGTCACTGTGATACTTTGAGAACATTTCTTCATCAAAGACCTGGAACAGATTATGCTCTGAGAAACTCAATTTAAAAAGTAATGTAGCCCTCTCCCCTTCTTCCATATGAGAAAACCATTCTGGTGTGTTTGTATGTAGATATAAACTAGGCACAGCATTAAACCATCAGGCTGCTCCTGGATAAAATGCTTATGCAGTCATTTATTTGCTCTGTCTTAAAGTGACACTCGCCCCACATATCTCCCATCTCTCTCTCTCTCTCTCTTTGTGGCTGATTAGGAGTGCATCACTTCCTTGGTCATTGCTCCGCTGAATTAATTTGATAAACTTGTGAATTATCTGGACATCTGCTAAAAGATGCTAAATAGCTTCTTTCAGTCCGAGTAGATGGAGCGACTAACATCTTCATATATATATTTTTTCTGAACACTGGCATGTCTGTTTTAGAGGCCTACTGTTTTGGACGGATACCAGACACAGTGCTGATAGGCTCATACTTAAATTCCTGTCAGAAATAATTTTGGAGACACTATCATACCCAGCCATGACCATTTTATCTTTCCTTATAACTGCTCAAACCTTGAGTCATTCTTTTTTCTGTGGCTGACACTTTGTTAACAGTTATGAGCATGTATTGAAAATAAAACGCGCAGTGTTTGCATGTACTTTGATGTCTTGAAATATTTACACTGGACGTGTGTGGTCTTGGTCTAATAGTATAAACAAACCGTGTGGGTTACTCTGTGAGTAGTGTATTACCCACCACTGCTTTTTCAATGTCACAAAAATAACTATAGTCCAGCTTTAGTGATGCAGTAACGCAAAATGAGCATGACTCATGAGCACACAAATCTCAGGTTTACTGCAGGAAACATCAGTATTTGTATGTTTTCAGTTTGACACAAACAAAAAGAAACACAGTTTATGTTACTTGACTGACTATGTCGACATGTCCTGGAGTGTGATCTAAATCTATTTAAAACAGAATATTCTTAACTATTTCTTAATTATTATATGCAGACTTCATTAACTCATATTAACTGATTAATACGATTTTGTCACACACTGAATGACCATTTACATTGAACTAGTGGAATCATAAATAAATGCATAAATAAATAAATGGTGGTGAAAAGGATTTAGTTGTAATACAAAGCACTTAAAACATAAACTTTCGCTTAAGCATTCACATATATAGGCCTATTTTAATTGTAAGCTAAACTTGTGATGTGAATAAAAAAAGCTCATGAATGTCTTTTGTCAAGGACTTTAATATATTAATAAAATGTACACACATACATTGTGTGTGTGTGTGTGTGTATTTCTTAAACGTATATTTAGTAAATTAGCATATATATATATATATATCAATAGTATGTAATATTAATATTACAGTATGTAAATAGTATGCGATATTGTTAAATACACAAACAAATAAAGACACATTACACGACAATTGACTACACTTGTTTCACTATAAGCATAATCTTTAAGCAAGACAAGGACTACACAAAAAAAAAAAATAATAATAAAAAGAAAAAGAAATGCTTTGAGTCCTCCCTCCTCCCCTAGTGCACCTGTTGCTCGCGGGCAGTCAGGAGTCACGTGACTCGAGCTGTCAGGATCTTTCGACCTTTTGATTCCTGTTACAAGTTGATATTTGCGGAGACAAAATGATCAATCTCGAATGCTGCCCTTCCAAACACAGCAGACAACCTGAC